GAGTCTCTCTACATAGCCCTGGCCATCCTGAAACTCACTACATAGTCCAAGCTGGCCTTGAATTCACAGACATTTACCTGCCTCTGCCTCCCAAGTGTTGGGATCAAAGGTATGAGCCTCTGCACCCTGCAGTTACTTTTTTATTGTCCTGACAAAATACCATGACCAAAAGATGAGATAAACTTTCTTAATAGTTTATGTGGCTTAAACTGTTTCAAGCAATGGCACCATCATGCAAATACGTATTGAGAACTGGAGAGGAGCAGAAAGAACACCCAACTCATAATACGCATACTGTGTATCTTCACGCCTCCTCAGGTATGGGCTGACCACTTACTTTCCACTTTGCTGAAGCACGACCAAAGATACCTTGTACTCGATGTACAATAGAATACTCAATCTCATCCTTCTTAAATGAATATTTAATTCTCTAAAAGGGACAAAAAAAAAAGCCTCAGTTAACCACGTTTATCCAATGTAGCTTTCACACATGCTCACTCTCAGTACTGACGAAAACAAAAAAACAACAGACAATTACAAGCATCCACTTTGGGCACAGCATAGGTTAACACCATCAGTGCCTCCACAACAGCAAAACCAACTTAAGAAATTAAACATGAACTTACTGCTCTTCTCCTCTGGATCAGCTCCAAAAGATTAATTTCATACTGTAGGGGATACAAAGGGAAGCGTGAAAACGATAACCTCTGAAGAAGTGAAATAAAAGATAATTTGCTACCAGCTGAATATTTTTGTTTTGCTTTTGTTTTTCGAGACAGGTTTTCTCTGTGTAATAGTCCAGGCTGTCCTGAAATTCGCTTGGTAGACCAGGCTGGCTTCGAACTCACTGAGATCTGTGATAGGCAGAATTTATAACAAATCTCTAGAACTCACTGGAAATTCACCTTAGCTCCATGAAACTTAGACATTTATATAGCAACAGTGACTGCAGGAGACTAAGATTCAAAGACAGCACATTACTTGAAAAGCATGACACCTATAAGATCTATAACATCAATTAATCCAACTCCCTGACTTAAATTTAGCAGCATATTCCAATTTTCAGTTTAAACAACAACAAAAAAAATCTAAGCCAGTCATTATGACACATATCTATACCTCAGAGGCTAAGACTGGAAGAAGGTCATGAGTCCAAGGTGCTAGGAAAGTAAGCCAAGAGGCACAGTAACCGCCAGTCAGTGTTACATTATATTCCATTCACCTCAGCACTCCAGAAGCAGACAGGTGGATCTCTGTGAGTTCAAGCCTGATCTACACAGGGACCTCCAGGCCCGCCAACCGGGACTACATAATGAGACTCTATCTAAAAAAGCAAGACTTGCCTAGCATGCACAAGGACCGCAACACTGCCAAGTATAGCAATGCATATTTATAATCCCAGAATTTGGGAAGTAAAAGCAGGAATGCTTTTTCTTTTATATTTTATTTTCTAGCATTTTGAGATAGCACTTCATGAAGCCCAAGCTGGTTTAGAGCTTACTACGTAACCAAGAATGACCATGAAGCCAGGTAGTGTTGGCACACGACTTTAATCCCAGCACTCGGGAGGCAGAGGCAGGTAGATCTCTGTGAATCTCAAAAAAAAAGTGTGTACAACCACAGAAGCCTGAAATTCTGTAGAAAATTGTTAAGTCCATTATTGCCTGAGTTAAAATTCTAGGGTTTTTTGTTTGTTTGTAATGTGCATTGGTGTTTTGTCTGCATGTATGACCTTGTGATGGTGTCAGATCCCTGGAACTGAAGTTACAGGCAGTTGCAAGTTGCTATGTGGGTGCTGGGAATTGAACTCAGGTCCAGCGCTCCTAACTACTAAGCCACCTCTCCAGCCTCCCAGTTAAAATTTTTGAAGGGGGGGGCTGGAGAGATGGCTCAGAGGTTGAGAGCATTGCCTGCTCTTCCAAAGGTCCTGAGTTCAATTCCCAGCAACCACATGGTGGCTCACAATCATCTGTGATGAGGTCTGCTGCCCTCTTCTGACCTGCAGGCATACACACAGACAGAATATTGTATACATATTAAATAAATAAATATTTAAAAAAAAATTTGAAGGGACTAAAAAGCTATGGAATCACTCACTTGAACATAATTGATAAAGTCTTCCTTGATAAGGGTTCTCCGCTGTATTTTGTATTCTAGATCAGACGCCTTTTTGATGATAGCCCTGCAGAGAAAGCCGGTTAGACTGTAACATTTGAAAAGTTAAATTTGAATTTAAGATTTTTATCCTGGATATATTAAAAATACCCATTTAACAAAACATCTAGTTCCTGAATACCATTATCTTCCAGAGGCAAAGTACTTACTCTTTTACATTACCTCTGTGCTGTTAAGAACATCCAGATAGCCAGGCAGTGGTGGTGCACACCTTTAATTCCAGCACTCAGGAGGCGGAGGCAGGTGAATCCCTGTGAGTTTGAGGCCAGCCTGGTCTACAAGAGCTAGTTTCAGGACAGCTAGGACTGTTACACAGGGAAACCCTGACAACACTTTATATTACTTATACATGCTACTAACAAACATTTCTTCTCCAAACCTAAGTTCCTTGGGGGTGTGGGGGAGCTTTTTTTTTTTTTTTGCATCCCCTAGAATCAAACCCAGGCCCTTGTGCACGCTAAGTAAGCACTCTGCGTTGCTCTTAGCTGCATCCTCAACCCTCAACGCTTAGGTTTTTATGAGAACCAAATCTCTATCCCAAAATCTTGATTTCTATATGGCCAGTATGTAAATTCTTAAAAACCTAAACTGTCTCTATCTAAAAAGCTTTATTACTATAAAACATTTATGGGAGAAGACAGCCCATCCTGCGTGAACACACACGTGTTTTAGGAAAACTGAATGCAGCATATGCACAATAGTATTTAAGAACTCACATTACTGTAATTCGTCCGGAATCATTGTAAAGTGGACCGTCACAGGAAATCTTTAAAAGCAATTGACTTTTAACAAATTACCGAATGTCAGCTATATGCCGGGCGCTATAGCAGAGCTCTAAAGAAGTGTATGAGACGAATGAAATGATCTCCAGTCTACAAGCTTAGGAGTCCTACCCACGCCCCCTTGGCTTCCAGGGCGATGGCCTCGAAACTCTAAAGTTGTATACCCCAAACATTTAAACTATAACCAATTTAAAAAACTTTTTTAATCTGAAGCCTCCCGCCATTCACATAGCCCAGGAAGCCCTTGATGGGCTGGAATCCGGGCTACATCACTTCTCGGGCCCCAAGACCCTGACCACCGAATGACGGTCTGTATGACAGGTGAGCACACGGACTGACGGACTGCTTCGCTATGGGTTAAGGCTGAATTCTGACAGCCATCAAATTCCGGCAGCGGGCTTTTTCCTCTTTTATCACGTTAGTTAGAAACAAACTCGGAAAAGTCCCCACGCCTGAAGTTCCCCTCAGCCCGCCCCAGTCCTTTCTCCTCCCTGACCCGCTCACTTAATTTCCGCGCGGCTGAAGAGCCCGATGCGCTCCAGCTGTTCCAACTCCGGGATTCGATCTTCTATGCGTTCCTGAATTATCTCCGCCATGAGGCTGGAACTTCACAAGCCGCCGGGCGGCCAACACGCGTAGAAGCGCCCACCTCTCAGCCTCCCGGATCTCTTTTAGTAACTGACTGAACGTGCTTCGTAGGTCCCGCCTTTTCCGCTTCCGCCATTGGGACCGTCCTCCCCGCTATCGAGGCCGCTGTCGCCTCCCTGTGGTTGACTGTAGAATTGCAGCGAGACCCCCTTCCGGTCTGATATAAGTCTTGTGCGGATCCGGGTTGGGGCGGGGCTGGAGGCGGGGTCAAATCCTCGCTCCACGGAGACCGGAAAAAGCCCTTCTCTTCGGGGATTTACCTGAGCGCCTGAAGAACGCTTTCTATGTCGTCTGTTTTAATCATTCTCCTATCGCAGGTCCTCACTTCCCTTCACTGGGAACCTAAAATATGCAATTGAAGATGATATTGTTAGTTATGCAAATTCGATGTGGCTCTAAGACCGACAACCGGCTGCCCCAGCTAGCGTTGTGCTAGCTTCTTCTGGAAAGCAATGTGGAGACTTGGATTTCTCACGTGCCAATTTAAGCCTCTGTATGGGAGGTTCGTTTTAAAATGGTGAGAAATGCTTCCTCATTTAAATAATTAGGGCTATCATGCCACCAAGCCCGGCCACCGAGTTCAGTAGAAGGAGAGGACTAACTCCCGCAAGTGTCCTCTGACCTCAACAGGTTCTCTATGCCACACTGGGCGCGCGGGCGCGCACACACACACACAACACACACACACACACACACACACACACTCACGATTTTAAATTTAAAAAAGAGGTATTCTGACTTATGTAGACAAAATATTTAAAAAATATTAGACTCTAATAGATATCAGAGACTGTCATTTGTTTTAGAAAACAGGATTTTGGTAGTGAAACGTTTGAAAGTTGGTGAAATAAATCAATATTTACTCAGCTCTTCCTTACAGCATTGCCCAAGCAAATGAACATTTTTAAGAGAACCATCCTGCAACTAAACTGAGAAGCAATATTGGTGGTATAATTACTACATCTAAAAAACTCTGGTTCCCTTCTCTTTAAGTCCTGGGAGATGATAAAGCCAAAGCAGGGGTCTCGTTAGACCTGCTATTGCGACACTCACATCCTTGCCTGATCCCCGATGCCATCTGTGAAAGACTCAGCAATTACCCAGTTCCACCCGGTTCTCTGCCTTCCTTTTCCTCCAATTTCATATCTTGTCCCACCAGACTCAGAACAGACCCAGAGGCTAATGTGGGGTTCATTGTTTCTCAACCCCTTCAGGGCTAAGATCTGAGAATGGAAGAAAATCACCTACGGAAATCGCAGATGCAGTTTCTCCATAGAAGCAGGACTGTCAGCAGCCAGACTGACCTGGAGTAGCGAGCTCAGTATGCACAGGGAGTCGAGACAGACAGAGAGAGAGAGAGAGAGAGAGAGAGAGAGAGAGAGAGAGAGAGAGAGAG